TCGGCGGCCGCCGCGCCGCCCACCCCAACCACAGAGGTTCGAGGAAGAGGCCCGGGGCTCGGGAATCCTACCTCGGCTGCCGACGCTGCGCTCCAGTCCGCGGAATCCTGGGGCTGGGGCTCGGCGTGTCGCCGGGCTCCGCGGGAGCTGGCCTCCGCGCCGGGGGCGCCGCTGGAGCGCAGGCGCCACCTAGTGGGCGCGCGGCCGCGAGGCGGGAGCGCGGTCCGGGCGGAAGTGCCGCCGGGGCTGCCCACGTGGGCGGTTTCCAACGCGCCGAGCTCCCGGGCGCGGATCCCGGCTGGGTGGGACCACCTTCCCTCCCTAGAGGGCGCTGGGAACTGAACTTGCTGAACTTTCTCTTAGGGGCACGGAGGGGCAGCCAGGCCCTGGCTTCCGGCCGGGGATCCGTACTGGGATTTTCCTGGCTGGACTTAGCGATCTTTCCTTCCATCCAAAAGCTTTCAGTACACCCCAATTTGGCAAAGCCTCTCTTTTAATTATGCTGGGAGCATCAGAAGATGCAGGGGACTGGGTTTCTCTCAAGCCTACGGAGGCCTTTCCCCTACCAGCAACCGTTTATTATTGACATCCCTCCTGCCCCGCCCGCATTTTGCCCTCCTACCCTGTTCCCTTCAGGCTCTTTGGCTGAACTTTATTAACACTCAGTCTGCGTCAGACCCTGTGTAGCTGCGGACACCGTCAGGTCCCTTAGGAGTTGGCAACCCAGGTAATCTTTCTCACCCGGGCGCCCCTAGCATTTCTTTGGTTGGGGCTGTCCTGGCACTGCAGGACATTTAGAGGCTCCGACTCCCTGGCACTAATGTCAGTAGCCACCCCTTAGTCGTTGTCTGGGTGGGGGTGGGGGTGGGGGTGGGGGGGGGGGTGTAAACCTGCCCTAGGCTAAGAACCTATTAGCTGATAATTAAGATCAGGTGACAACGAAGTGCAGCCTCCAGGGGAGTCCCACTGTCAGGCTTTTTCAGAGCACTGGGCACCCTCAGCCGCCTTCCTTTCCTGAGGCTTCCCGTATTTATTATTTTTTCTGTGAAGACATGCCAAAACAGGGTTACAAAACTGGTGGACTATTCCAAGTGCTTACATTTCATTTATTTCTTCGTTCAACAAGTGTTAACTAAGCACCCATGTGCCAAACACTTTTCTACAAACAAGGGATACCACGTAGGACAAAACACCCCCAAATCTCTGTCCTTGTTGAATTCACATTTAATGTAACAAATTAACACTTGTAACACACACACACAAATGTAATACAATGTAATTGAGCTCTTTACAGGATAAGTACAGGATTTATAGAAAAAAATATGAATTTATAGGGCACCGAAGGCAGTGTGTCTGGCGGTGAATAGAAGTTTTGCAGAGTTATACGGGGAATGTCATCTTTCAATCCTGGCAGTTTATCTGTGTGATATCTGGGGATAATTAACATCACTAGTGGAAATATTAGAGACACTTTGTGAAAGTGAGGTCTGTGCCAACTTCCCCATCCCCCACCTGTGTGTGCCTACTTAATCTTTGGCCTCTCTGTGCTGGTGTAACCTGGTCGAAGTGACCACCAAGGGCAGAGGGGGAGGAGAAGGTATCACCTGTAGGCAATGCTTGGAAGGGCAAGGGGCAGCGTGTGCTTGTGCATGTGCACGTGTGTGCGTGTGTGTGTGACTGACGGGGGCCAGCCCCAGCCTACTCATGGCAGGCAGGTGCCCTGGTGAAGGTGAATTGGTCAGGGAAGAGCTGACAGGTCCACTTCTCATTCTTTCACTTTCAAGTGTCTCTGAGTCACTTCCAGACCGCTCTGGTACCAGTCTTTGCAAGAGCTCCGTCCCGGCACCTCACCCCACCGTCCCTCAAAGCATGCCTAGGCAAGGTCCTAGATTACAACCTCCAGGATTCTGACGTCAGGCATCACCTGATGAGGTTAAAAGCCTCCAAGAGACTTTCTCCTCTGAGTTCTCCTAACATTTTTCCCGTTCCAATAATCACAGTGTTTTGGAAACTACAGTTATCAACAGGTCTGTTTTCTCCATAGGTGGTCTCTTTGAGGTAGAAGCAGAGTCAATAATAATAATTATTATTATTATTATTATTATTTGTAAGGTATTAAGCACTAAGAACTTTAGATTGACTGTTTAGTTTAATCCTCACAATAATCCTATGAAGTTGGCACTGTCATTTTCCCCATTTTACAGGTGAAGAAGTCGAGACTCATAATTCTCAACTCATTTGCCTGAGGTGGAAGAGTTAGCAAGTAGTGTGGCCAGGGCTTGAATCTGGGTTGCCCGACTGCAGAACATTTGCCTTTGAGTGCTTCACTAGTGTTCATTGAGCACCTACTGTGTGCTGGACACTGTGTTTTAGCTATGGGACAGGATGGACCAGCTGCTCTCCATTTATCCCTCTTGTTCTTTTGTTCTGCCCATCCCTTCCTTGAAAGGGAGAATTTTGTTTCATTTTGTTTTTTAATAAATTCGCAGTTATGTTATGAGATATAGCCTATTTTCAGTAGGAAAGGTCTTATTTATCTTCCAGAGTGATGCTCTATTAAAAAGGGTGAGACTCTTCTATTGTCCAAAGTGGGTGGAGCTAGAAAGGGGGGCTCTAGGAACATGTACAGGATGGTGTCAGGACCCTGGCAGAAGGAGGGGTAGAAAAGGAAGGAGGGAGGGATGCCAAAGAGACCAAGGGGGAAGGGCCCGGATGCCCATCCCAGGAAGGGCACTTGGTCTTGTGAGGCTGACCCTGTGGACTGAATGGCAACTGGACTTTTGGTGTCACTGTATATCTGTGATTGGCAGGAGTAAGCTAATCACTTTTTGGTCATGAATTGCATCTGCAAACCCTGCCAGATGTTATGAGGTGTAATAGCAAGATGACATGTATGCTGTCTCATTGACTCTTCCCCAAAGTCCGGGAAACAGAGTCACAGATGTGAAGCAACTTTATGAAGGCCACACAGCATGTACACTGTAGAATTAGCATTCCATCCCTATGGAATGCTACGGATTCTCTAGCTGACATTGGTCCTAGATCCTAGAGAGCATCTAGGATCCTCTTAGGCTGACAGTGTTGCTTCTAACCGTGACCATTTTTAGCTGCCTTTCCATAAAGGAGTGAATTAAACTGAACTCCTAGGGAGAGGTTTGCGTTTCTTCATTTTGGCCATAATGTCCTTTTTCTCCTCCAGCAGCTGATATTCTGCTCATCCTTCTAGGTCCAGCTCCAGGAAACCCTCCTCTATCCCCTTTCCAGTGTGACCCCTTCCCTGTATTAAAGCACTTACTGCGTTCTGCCTCGTAGTTTTATTCCCTGTGAAGCTGTTACCTCCGCCAACAGATTCTGTGGCCCTTGAGAGCAGGAGCTAGGGACTTCTGGTTGCCTCTCCACATCCACTTTCCATTCCTCTCCACCCTGCTTTGCGTCCTGGACAGCTGACCTAAATGGGCAAGACCAAACGCTTCTATGCCCACTGACTTCAAGTTGAGTTTGGCCCATGGGAGCCCTGGGAGAGACCAGAGGGAGGCAGGAGAGTGAGGTGGGGGTGCTTGTTCCCCCAGCTCTCTTTCTGCAGGGTGTCTTGGGCTGGCCACTCTCTTGACCCACATCATGGCTGTATGGTGGCCCTCTGTACACAGCCTTCTCGGCCTCCACACCCAGGCCCCCTTAAATGCGATTCACTAAGGTTCTAGAAACTGTGCAAAACCCCAAATGGAAATTTGTACCATGTAGCTCAATAAACAGCTGTTGAGCAAAATTAGGGGCAGGTGTGTTTGTTTGTTTGTTCAAGTGAGAAGCAGAAAAGAAAGGATTTTAAATGATCTTGAGAACTAGGACCAGATGGCAAATAAGCCCCTAGGTTCCTTGCAAACAGTTTTTATTTGTTTTTTTGTTTAGATGATCTTTAAATTTTTAAAAGAATTTTCTTAGTATGCAGCAAATTTGACTTTTTAAAATTTTGGTGTACAGTTCTATGAATATTAACACATGGATAGATTTGTGTAACTACCACCACAATTAGGATACTAAACAGTTCCATCACCCCAAAAACTCCTTCAACCCGTCACTTTTGTAGTGATACCACTGATCTGTTCTCCATCCATATATTTTTTTTGTGAGGAAGATTGGCCCTGAGCTAACATCTGTTGCCAATCTTCCTAGGTTTTTTTCTCCCCAAAGCCCCAACACATAGTTGTATATCCTAGTTGTAGGTCATTCTAGTTCTTCTATGTGGGAAGCCACCACAGCATGGCTTGATGAGCTGTGCGTAGGTCTGCACCCAGGATCCGAGTTGGCGAAACCCTGGGCCACTGGAGTACACGAACTTAACCACTTGGCCACACGGCTGGCCCCCTCCATCCTTGTATTTTTGTCTTTTCAAGAATGTCGTATGAATGGAATCAAACAGTAGGTAACGTTTTGAGACTGCCTTCTTTCACTCAACATAGTGTCTTTGAAATTCATCTAAACTGTTACATTATCAATAGTTTATTCCTTTTTATTGCTGAGTAGTATTCCATCATATGAATGTACCATAGTTTATCTATCCATTCACATTCAGGTTGTTTCCAGTTTCTGATTATTAACAGAGCTCCTTGAAATATTCCTGTACAAGTTTCTGTGTGAATATAGGTTTTCTTTGCCCTGGGATAACATTATGGACTGATGTGTTCTCCCCAGATTCATAGGTCGAAGCTCCAATCCCCAGTGTGGCTGCATTTAGAGATAGGGCTTTTATGAAGGTCACTAAGGTTAAAAGAGGTCACAAGGGTGGGGCCCTAATCCCACGGACCTGCTGTCCTTATAAGAAGAGGAAGGGACACCAGAGCCCTCTCTCTTTTGTGAGCACAGAAGAAAGGCCAAGTGAGGATGCAGCGAGAAGCTGGCCGTCTGCAAACCAGGAAGACAGCTCTCACCAGAAACCAAATTTGCCAGCATGTTGGTGATGGACTTCTAGCCTCCAGAACTGTGAGCAAATGTCTATTGTTTAAGCTGCCTGGTCTGCGGTATTTTGTTATGGCAGCCTGAGCAGACCAATACAGGTAAATGTTCTATGATAAGTGTATGTTTAGCTTTGTGAGAAACTGTTTTCCCAAGTGGCTGTACCATTTTGTATTCCCATCAGCACTATCTGAGAGTTCCAGTTGCTTTGCACCCTTGCCAACATATGGTATTGTCAGTATTTTTTCCAAGGAGTTTTTATTTGTATTTTCTATGTTGGTATTTTTTTGTGTGCTGCATTTTGTAGGTAGTAATAGCTAAGGAAGCAGTCTAAAACTGAAAATATTTTGAAAGTGTCCTACCGAGGTCCCATCCATCTTTGGGCTGTCCATACACCATTTCTCTTTTCTTGTCTTTCTTTTGGTCTCATTCTATTCCTAGGGCAACGTCCCCTAGGCCGAGACAGCTGGTGATCCGGCAAATTGCAGTCCTCATCAGAGGTGAATCCATTTCTGAGAATTGAGGAGGTTGGGTGTGGGCAGGGCTGGCTTCATGGGCTCCGTGCTTCATTTAAAGTTCTACTGTCGTCGTCTTGAAATTCTTAATCATTTTTGAACAAGGGCCCATGTTTTAATTTTGCACTGGGCCCCACAAATTATGTAACTGGTCCCGGGTGTGGGGGCCACAGGCAGGGTGGGGCTTCTCACAGGTTCGCTTAGCAAAGGGCTCTCATCTGTTCCCACCGACCACGTCTCTAAACTAACCCAAGCTCAACCTGAAGGTTTACCTGGCTCCTGCGAACTCCTGCTGCCTGTCTCTTGTGCTCACTTGGGCTAAGCATGATTAATTTGGAGACTTCACAGGAGGATTGTTAGCTTAGGATCCCAATATCCAAATGAGGATTTGCCTTAATTAGGCACTCTTAATTGCAAGGCAAATGGAGCCTCCCTCTTCCACCCTAACACCCCCAAACTGTACTTTGGCATTTATGTGGGAGAGGTAAGTCAGCAGTATCATAATGTATTCCTAATTGTTACTCTGCCAGCCCAGCTGGCAAGACGTTCACTCAAAGAAAGGTGATTTATAGGGGAGTTTTACCATGTTCTTGCAGATCACTGAATGCCCGGGTCCAGGAGAATGAATGGTATTAACCAGAGGTGGGGAGAGGAGGATGGGGCGCATGGAGGGGTGGGGGTGAGAGGGAAAAGGGAATGGGGGGGTCACAGGCTTGGGAAGCAGCATCCTGAGCTGCTGCTTACCAGGCGCGTGACTGACCTAACGCCTCTGGACTTAATGATTTCAACTCTAAAGTGGAACCAACAACACTGTCTCCTAGGACTGTTTGTGAGGAGTAGATGAAAGGACTTATGTAAGTGTCAGAGGCTGGCGTGCACCAGTCCTCCATAAGTGGAGGGGAATTGATGTCACCTTTGACTGCTTTGTGCATATGTGGGAAAGAATAAATTTTTGTGCTTTTCTGAAAAGCCACTTCACAGACTTGCTTGATCCTCTTTCCAGCTTCCTAGGAGCTGGGTTAGGATTACCAGGCCCTTTTTTTAGAGTTAGGAAAAGGAAAGTGAGGTGATCAGAAAATAAAATCAGAGTGGAATAGAACTCAGGAGGGGCTCACTTCAGTTCCGTAGCCTGCAAGGCTTCGCTAGAAGTATTTACATCAGAGATCATTCATTCACAGCTTTGAAAACCTCAACCCACGTGTCCCAGATTAAAAGAGCAATGACAGGCCAAGGAAGCCGATGACATCTCTGATGGTGTGTGAAGATGGGCCGATGGGGTCTTTAAAATAGATTAACGTAGTGATAGAGTGGAATCCGATGACTTCGGCTCAAATCTCAGCTCTGCTATTTCCTGGCTGTTAGTAACTACCTTAAATAAATTACTCCATCTCTGTGCTTCAGTGCCTCCATCTGTCAAACGAGGATTAAATAATATGATCTGCCTCTTTGGGGTGTTGTGAGGATTAAACAAGATGAGGAATGTGAACTGTGCTTGGCACCGAGTGGCCCTCGGTCCCTGCTAGCCTGCTAGTTCTTTTCATTCCCTCCATGTTTGGGTAACCCCTGGAGTCCTCGGTGTTAGCCCTCCCTATTCTTCAGCCCTAGGTGGGGTTGGCACTCTAGGGTAGGGGAACGGCCTCCCAGCGGGGGGTCTGTGAGTCGCGGAACTGAATGTGACCCCGGGAGGGCCCCCCCCCACCCCAGGCTAGTTGCGTGGTAACGGGGCTTGCCCTGTGAGGACACGCCCTGGTGTTTACAGGTAACTAGGTGGGGGGTTGTAACTTGTAAAGAAGTTAAAGGTTAGACAAAAGAGAATTCTTCCGGGGAATGAATGGGGCTCAGTGCTTGGAACTCGCCGGGTCAGCAGGAAGGGCAGCCGTCCAGGCCCGGCCCAGCCCATGCAGGGGGGCCTCAGTATGCAGATGGGACCTGGCATCTCCCGGTGACCATAGAAACCCAACCAGTTCTCTTTCAACAGTGCTCTGAGGAAAGGTTATTTAACTCCGGCACCCGAGGATCAGCTGCACAGCCTCGCGTCTTCTTGGAACATCCCAGGGCGCTCAGCCCTTAGCATCCGGTTGAGATGGGATGCCACTCTAGCAAGAGCACCAAGGTTGTGGGGGAGTCTCAGGAATCTGGAGAACAGCCTGCGGGAGAAGAGCCAAACCTGGAGGCTGGCACTGAGGCAGCAGATGGCAAAGACGCCTCGTTGCAGGATGGCGCCCCTGAGCGGAAGAGCTGAGATGCTGTCCTCTGGAGCCAGACCCTCGCCTCGGTCCTGGAACTGCCTTTGGCCAGTGAAACCTGAGACAAGCCCCAGTCTGAGAAGCTCTGAATAGAGGGAGGAGAGAGACATCCCCACCTTTGGGAATCAGGCTTCAGAAGTTACCTTCATCAGCCTTTGCTCATTGGAGTTTCCAGGAAGATGAGGCCGTGAGGAATCCTGGTTCCCCAGCTCTCCGGTAGAGAGGACAAGAGAAGTCTTCCCACATCATGGGCCTTTTCCACAGCTTCTGGAAATGGAAGAGCCCCATGACAGACTGTTCTGGTTCTCGTGACTATCTGCAGCTGAGTTGTGACTGTCCAGGGACCCCCACCTGCCTCACCGTGAACTCTGAAAGCTCTGTGGTCATGGCGTCCATTGGGGTGTGTGGCTCTCAGTTCTTTCTCCTTCTCTCTCTCCCTTTTGTCAATAGCTGGCTGAATAGCCAACATCCCTAACAGGAAGGTTTTGCATTTGGCTCACTCCACACTGTTCGTATGAATAATTTAATATTTAACTTGGAGAATTGTTAATGAGTTATGGGAACAATCAGGATCAGACTGTGATCACGTAAACGGAAGGCCACAAGGCCTTGATCATCCAGTAAGTGGAGCGTTGAGAGCTGGTGGGAAGGAAGGAGGAGGGATTTGTGTTCCTGGGTTTTTAATCCCAGAGCAATGTCCCTCTGCTGATATTCATGTGTCTCCTCATATCCAAAGTCTGTCAATTTGCACCCTCTGGCATCTGAGCTCTCTGTATCCAGCCTTCGAAAATATTTCGCTGTTTACTAACATGTCTGTCAGCCTTTCTTTTTTCCCCCTACATGTGTCTTGTTTTTAATTTGACTCAAAAGTGTTTTAATTTGAAATCAAATAGACATGTTTGCAAATAAGTGATGACACAACACATTTGAGAGACAGGATCCGAGATTAGAGGATCAGCAGGGAGGGGCGGGTGTGATTCTGAAGGACACTTGAATAGAGAGGCTGCAGAGCACTTGCCTTGTGCCGGGCAACTTTACATGGATGGCTTAAGGTAACCATCACAACCATGCCCATTTTAGAGATGACGAAATTGAGGTACCAAGAGGTTAAGTAACTTGACTGAGTAGGGCCAACCAATATGGGGCGGAACCCAGATTTGACCTCCAGCAGCGTGGCTCCTGAATTCACGCTGCTAACTACTGCAGAGTCCTGCTTAAAGTGGAGGGTCTTTCTGTGAATAAATGGAAATCACGTCCCATTACAGCCTGTGCCTCGTGGGGACCATTTGTCTTTACTCATTAGGACCTACCTGCCTGTGGAGAAGTAGGCAACTGGTCAGCTGGGAGTTGCTCTTTTGTACCTTGGGTGATGCATTGAGGGCCTTTTATTTTTACTCAGGTGGCGGTGGGGGAGGGTATGGGTGGGGAGGAGAGAGATGGAGTCAAGAATGGGAGGAAGAGAGAGAAAGAAAGACAAAGAGAGAGCGAGGCAGCAAGCTACTGGAAATGACCCCTCTTTTTGGCCATAAAAACCCCAGAAACTGAATAGGAATCTTTTGAGATGACAGGGCAGCTGGGCTAAAGAGAAGGAAAGAAGGAAGGAAGGACAAGAGGTAAAGTAATTCAGCCTGAAAATTGACTACAGAAGGTTCCTTTTGCTTCAGCAGAGCCTGATGTCTTCCAAGGAAGGAGCAGGAGAGATGGGGCCCCGTGAGCTGGCCCACAGCTCTGCTCCGTCCCTGGAGGTGGCAGATGGTCCGTAGGCCAGGAAACAGGCCTGGGCTTGCAGCTGGGGGGCAGGAAGTTTGGGGCCTCTTTTTACAGTTTACTGGGGATAGGCCAAGCTCTGGTAGCTGCTTTCAATTTTTTTTTAGACAATTCTGCTCTTCTCCCTCCTCCCTCCTGATGGAAATTCATCCTGCAAAACAGGGCTGTGTCTGATAAGAAGCTGCTCACACTGTCCACCCTCAGGGCTCCTGGGAACAGTTCTCAGCTGGTGATGAGGCATTGAGGCAGGGTGCCGCTTATTGCACCAGCCCCTGAGAGGCGGAACTCACAGCTTCCTACCAAATCAAAAGAAGAAGGCTCCAGGTCCTTTCAAGTTCAGAAACAGAGGGGTTTGTTTCACTTCCTTCTGGGAGAGTGCAAAGTGCTCATTTAATTAAATTCAAGATCTCTGAGGGCTTTTAAAAACAGGATTCTTCATCCACCTCCAGCTGTGGCAAGCATGTTGCAATTTGCCAGGAAGTTAATCTGTCTCAGGAAAAAGCACCCAGTTTCTGTCGAAGGACATTCCAATTGTTCCACTGGGGCCCCGTATCATTCATCTGTCTCCCTCTGAGGCTCAAGTGCCTGGTGAAAGTGGTTAGAGTTGTATTTGCTCAAACATAGCTTTAACCTCTCACAAGACAGGTCTGCACAGACTGCCCATGACTTGAAAGTCATTGCTCTAGCCTACTTCCCAAACTACTGAAAGACGAGGGGTTGGTTTACTACTCAAATTATCCATCCACCTATCCTTCTACCTGTCCATCCATCCATCCATCCAACCATCCATCCATGCATCCATCCATCCATCCATCTATCTGTCCATCCGTCCATCCATCCATCTGTCCGTCCATCCATCCATCTATCCATCCATCTTTCCAGTTGTTTATCCATCCATCCATCCATCCGTCCACCTAATCCATCCATCTAATCCATCCAATCCATCTGTCCATCCATCCATCCATTTTTTCATCTACCCATCCTCCATCCATCCGTCCATCCATCCATCTTTCCAGCTATTCATCTATCTAGCTCTCTCTCCATTCATTCAGCTCTTCCCTTGGAATTTTCAGTTATAGGAGGCAATAAATTTCCCCTTTTAAACCAAATCCATTCATTAAGCAAATTTTTATTGAAATTCTACTCTTCTCTATCACTCATTCATTTATTCTTTCCTCATTCATTGATTTCTTATCAGTTACTGGGTGACTATGCTATGCTAAACCCCTTAGTGTTAAAATTTTGAAGCATGTCTTTGTGGGAGCACAGCCTGGAACAGGGTGGTCCAGAGAGAGCTTTCCAGCCCAGATAAGATCCACGCTGAGCCTTCAAGAGTAAGTAGGAGTTAGCCAGGGAAAGAGGATGTGTGTTTCAGGAGAAGGGGAACATATGACTCAAGATTGGAGGCTGCATAGGGCATGATGTGCAGTGTTGTGGGAGCCTGAAGGGCACGTCACACAATGACAGGGAGGTGAAGCTGGAACAGTATGAAGGATCAAATTATGGAGGGCCTTGTACTTTACACCAAGAGACTCAGAGTTCATCCTAATGGTGATGAGGAGTCCACTCCACTGAAGGGCTTTAGGTAGAAGAATGATGTTAGGATATCAATTGCTTTTGACTGCTTGGTATCCTGCCTTCTGGTAACAAATCCCATCTTTTCCCTTTGGGGAACCCTTTTCTTACCCAATGTCAGTTTACCAAATTGGGTGGGGCCGATCCCATTCTCAGGCTCCAGGCCAAGTACTGCATGTTCCTGGTCAAAGTGATTTGTTCAAGGAAGGGCATCTGACCCAAACAAGTCCAATGAGAGTCTTCTCCAGGAATTTTTGTTGAAGCAATTAGGAAAGAAGTATTCACTTTCTTTTGGAGTTAATAAAATTGTAAGATTTAAGCCTGAAACTTCTTAGTGGCAATTTTTCCACCACTGGGGATGACCTGTTTAAGAATGAATCCACAGAGGAGAGTGGAGCCGAAAGAAGGAGAGACATGTTCCTGATGAACTTATTTGGTCAACTGGATCCAGCCGTGCCAGAAGTCTAATTCTACTCCTAGATGCTTTACACAAGCCAATAAATTCTCACTTTTTTTTTTTTTTGCTGACAGTGACTTGAATTTGGTTTCTGTCACTTTTGAAGAGTTCTGAGTAAATCAGATCAACTCAGATTTGTACATTAGGTAGAGTACCTGGGTAGCTGTTTGAGGATGGAATTGAGAGGATAAGGCTAGAAGCAGGATTACCAATTAGGAGGCAATTGCCTGACTCAGGAAAGGAAGATCTATCAGGTAGCTATTACTATTTATAGCTAATTTGCAACCAGCCACAAAATCTCATTGGCACACAAGCATAAGCTTTTTCGTCTTGTTCACATGTCTGTGTGTCACTGTGGTTCAGATGATTTAGACTACCTGAAGATGTGTTCACATGACAAACAGCAAGAGCACAAGAGACCAAGTCTAACTGCACGGCCAGAGTTATATTCTCTATCATTCCGTTGCCAACAGCCAGTCACACGGCCAAATCCAACATCAACAGGGCAGGAAAGTACCTTCCTCTCATGGAGGTAGGACGGAGGCTGGGGGGTTGGGGGAGTGAATATTTTCTGAACAATAAGCTACTCTACCACAAAAGGGATGGAATGAAGAGGACAAATTCAAGAAATATTTATGGGGCAAAATCAACTGGTTTTGGTGATTTATTTTACATAGGGGTTGAGGGAGAGAGAGGAGTTATTACTGCCTATAAACATAGGTTCCCTACCTGCCACATACGAGGGGCCAAATAAAAACTGGAACACCAGGCTTATGGCAAGGAAAGAGTTTTTATTTCGGGTGATATCAGCCTGGAGATGAGAGTGAGCCCTCAAATTTCTCTCGTTTCACCTCATCTCCCCGAAAGAGGGGAGGCGAGGGATTTTAAAGGTTTGTGAGGAATGGGGCTGCTTGTAGAGAGGTGGGGGGAGTCAGTGGCTTTGCTGGTCTGAGCTTTTCCATCAGCCTGCGGTCAGCCTTGGGATGCTGCTTGCAGGAAGGAGGAGGAGATGATAAGGAATCCAGGTAGGAGAACTTGGCCATCTGTTTCCATGGCAGATAGTGGATTCTGGAGCCGGGGATCCAGGGAGTAAGCAGGGAAAGAGTGCTTTGGTTTTAATCCCACATATGCTGGGTTTAATATAGGGGGACTGCTATCAGGGCCAGCATCAGAGTCAAGGCTTCTACTTGGGTGATGAGGCTGATGATGGTGCCACCATGTGAGAAAGACTCTGGGAGAAAGGACAGGTTTAGAGGGAGGATGAAGAGTTGAGTTTTGGAAGGATTGAGTTTGAGATGCTTATAGGACAAAATAAAAATAATAATGACAAATGCTTATATCACTCTTACTATGTCCAGACATAGTTCCAAATGGTTTACATATAGGATTCATTTAATCCTCATACCACCCTATCCTCATTTTATAAATTAAAGCACAGAGGATTGAGTAATTTACCCAGCCTTTCAGCTCTCAAAAACAGAGCTGGAACATGAACTAGGAGGTTGGCTCCAGAGGCTGATACTTGGGGAATTTATTTGGCAGTTGCGGGGGCCCTCTTGCACCCTCAGAGCTGGTATAAAGATTATTTTAAAGTCAAAACATTTGTGCACAGAAGATGCAGAAAGAAATCTTATCTGAATTTCCTTATCTGTCTAAATCAGAGCCTCTAGAAAATATAGCTGCCATTAAGCCCCTCCGAGGGAGTTTCTTGTGAATTGAGCTGCCAAGAAGACAGACTGCCCATTCCATTAGCATCAAAAAGCCCAGTAGAACCTTCCATGCTCTCCCACTGAAGCCCTGAACACCCCCTCCCTTTGTTAAGTTGATATATACCCACCTTTTCCCCAGTACTAGTGATGCGGGCTCGGTGAGTTGAGGAGTCGAAAGAAAGATTTCTTGGACTCTCAAAGTCTGGCAGTAGTGCTCTTTTATTCAGAGAATAGTATGGAATAGCATGGGGACAGGACCCATGGGCAGTGAAGAGCTGCAATGTGTTGAGAGTTAAGGCTAAATTTAGAAGGCATGGGTATGTGACTTATTTTTACTAGACAAAGGAAAGATGATGTAAAAAGTCATTAAATGGTATCAGTGCAGGTGGGTCTGGTTATTGTGTGGTTGTATAACTTTAGATGTGCATTGGGTCATATAGATTGGCATGTAGGCCAGGATGCCCTGGGCTTCTCTCCCTGGGGCAGCCCTAATCCACACCATAAGATGCAGCGGGTCATATAGATTGGCATGTAGGCTGGGACACCTTGGGCTTCTCTACCTGGGGCAGCCTTGATCCACATCACTAGGAGCTCCCCCATGCAGCTATGGAAACATGCCCTGTGGTTTTGCCTGTTAATCTGTCTTTTTCTCAGTTAAATTTTCAAGTCTCAACCACTGGGCCAGAGCTGGAAGGGGAAAAATCTTGGCAATGAGGATGTGACTCTTGGGACTCCCTCATCACTCTGGAGACTGCCCCTGAGATCCCAGGACGTCTGACCACTCGGGCCAAGGTAAACTTTTTTTTCCCAGTCAGTCAGACTCTTGGATTCTGCTCTGGGTCTGGCTGAGTAAGGGCAGTAAGAGTTTCTCCTTGTCTTTTCTAAAAAGGTTTTCCAAATTTTAGATTTATAGGCGATAACTTGGTTATGACTCATTGTTTGGATGCTGTGACTTGTTATAGGTAGGCCTTGTGCCTGTATCTTGTGCTGCTCTTTTGTTTCATGCTGTCTATAAGTGTTATTTGCTTCCTCAGAGCTTGGCTTTGGAAATTAGAGAGAGAATTCTATCTGGTTTTCCACCTGCTGGGGGGTGCAGGTTGTCAGGTCAACTGCCAACCATCAGGTTGGAGGCCCCAAGAATTTGTAGTCAGCCAGGCAGAAATGTGAATAGCCTGGGCACCCATCTGTGACTGGTGTCCTACTGACCATTGCCAGCTCTCATGGGATTTGCCTAAGTCTAAATCTTAAAGGATCTCATCCTATAAGGACCCTCGTCTCTTTCCTCCTTGCCTTTGCTTATCACCTGTGGCAATGGAGATCCTCATTTTCTTTATCCCCGGCTACCTTTAGGTATGGGGCTGCATCTTCTGTGCCCTCTCTGGGGATGACTTTTGTCTCCACGGTTAAGCCATAAAAATGCTTATGGTCTGAGTCACAGTTGGAAGGAGTATGCTCTCTGAAGCTGGGTTAGAGTCTGGCGTCTTGGTTTGGAAGGAACCTCTTGGGCTGGAAGTTCTCCTTCCTGGCTTTGGTTTTGAGGCTTCTCTGTTCTCCTCTTGGGCTGAAAGTTCTTTCTGGCTTTTTGTTTCAAGGTCTTTCTGTTCTCCTACTTGATCCTGTGGCTCTTATGGGAACTTTTCAGTAGACTAAACTTCCTCCTTCTCAAATCCCTGCTGACCGTATGCTCTGCCTGTCTGGCACTGATTGTCTGCTTCCTTTCTTGTTGGCATGACTTTACTAAGGATAACTTAGAACGTCAACAGTTTCTTTGAGAAAGCTTACATCTCCCAAGCTGGCTTCCCTAAGATTTTTCCCTTCCACTCCAGCCCCTCAACTTCATATAGTCACTGGAACTGTGGTAATCCCGGCCCTCCTTTCAGTAGACTCTTAAGAGACTCAGGAACCCTTAAAAGCAACCATCTGAGGCTGAAAAAGAAAGAAAAAGACTAATTGGAAACAAAATTTAGTCCACAGCCTCTATTAGATTATGTGTTAGGAAAAAAGGAAAAATCTTAAAAGTCTCCTCCACAAATATTAGTAAAAAGCTTTACACCCATGGTGAGCAGGTAACAACTTATTCCATTTGCCGGAAACACAATTAGGATCAAAATATATAGTGGAGCAAAGACGAGAATCAACTCTTACATATAAACTAGTGAAATTTAGATGATTGTATGTCTTAGCCCGTTTGGGCTGCTGTAACAAGACATCACAGGCTGGGGGACTTCAACAGCAAACATTGATTTCTCGCAGTCCTGGAGGCAGGATGCCCAGGAGCAGGGTGCCAGTGTGGTAGGGCTGTGGTGAGGGCCCGTTTTCTGACTTGTAGACAGCTGCCTTCTCACTATTTCTTCACATGGCTGAGAAAGGAAGAAAGAAAGAAAAATGAAAGAGAGAAGGGGAGAGAGAGAGAGAGAGAGGAAGCTCTCTGGTGTCTCTTCTTATCGGGGCACTGATCCCATCACTAAAGCTTCCCCCGCATGCCTTAATTATCCCCCAAAGGCCCCATCTCCAAATACCACCATATTGGGAATTCCAGTTTCAGGGCATGAATTTGGAGGGACATAAACATTCAGTCTATAGCACTGTATTTATGCCTGATTCATGGCTAAAATTTTAGAATGAAAACTATAAGATCTGTATCTGCATCTGTCTGTATAGGTATGTATATTACGTATAAATGATATTTTCCTGCCTCTGGATGGTATTACCAAATTAATAAAGAAGCTCTATTCTAATTGACTTTGACAAAATAGACACTTATAGAAATTAAACATCCCCCAAACTCTCTGAAATACTAAGCCAAAAGTTTTTAAGTTCGCGTGATTTGGGTAAATGAGACTAGTCTAATATTGCTGGTTTAATAACAACAGCTGTGTTTTCTGAGGTATCAGCATCGAGAATGATACAAGCGTGTGTTTTTATTCTATTTGGGTTTGCTAGTCAAATAGACTAATGTTATATTTACTACATGTTTAAGATTATGAAACTTTTAGATTTAATTCTAATCAAATTAAGTCATTATTCTGGCAAACTTTATTTCAACAATAACTATGTTCTATAATAAATCTGCCTAAAAGTAGTTTCCCAAATCTTTTTGCTTATTTGCCACCTTAAAGCTATACTAAATTAAGTTACATGGTAGCTGTTGATTACATATCTGGGTCAATTCTGAATAAAGTAAAATATTGAAATGTTAATTACTGAACATAAATTAAGTTTGTATGCTTTTGGCTTCTTATTTTTACATAGAGACTAAAAACATTTGAGTCTGTTACTAAACATGTTCTTTTGCTACATTGAGAAATTGTGCTATGAGAAGGCATATACCTCTAGAAATTGTGAGACAGTATATTCATAAATTTGCTTATCTACTATAGGATGCTAGTATATGACAGACAGTTCACAATTGTCTGCTTCCTAGTTTTCTCTGGAAAATAAAGGTTACTAAGGGTTGAAAATTATAATCAATATATATAAATGAAACTGCTAGAAATAATGAAGGTGAAGAAAAGAAAAACTCCTGTATGAAAATTATGCAAGGAAACTAGGATGTGTTTTTGATAAGAAAAAGTATACAAGGTGTGAAGATATGTTTTTGTTAAGGGAAAAAAGAGAGTAATTTTGTCCTAAAGTAGTTGTTTAAACGTTGTTCCAGAATGAGAAAGAGAAAAACCTGAATGCATACAGAAGGTTGTAAAGGATCTGCAAGAGTGAGGGAGAGAGAGAGAGAGACTTTAATGTTATGTGGTCGAGCTGGCAAGGATGGAATGGTTTTATTGCAAGCTTGTAAAGTGAGCTTTAATATCAATAGTGTACCAATGCAAAACCAGTGTTTGATTTTCTCTCTTAAAAGGACAGAGTTTCTTGGGTTGTTGGTGTCCTCTTAGTAAGAGATTATAAAAGGTTTTCTCTACCTTTTGAATGATCCATCTAGGAAACAAGGATTCTGTGTCTTAGAATAATTTCCTGTGTTGTCCTTATCATGTTCTTGATTATTTAAGAGAAATGAGTCTTCTCACTTTTTAAAAGAGCTGTCTTTTTTTTTATTAAAATAATCGCGTTGCTCCCTATATTTACTTTTGAAATCTTTTTTTTTTTTTTTTAAAGATTTTATTTTTCTCCTTTTTCTCCCCAAAGCCCCCCGGTACATAGTTGTATATTTCGTTGTGGGTCCTTCTAGTTGTGGCATGTGGGACGCTGCCTCAGCATGGTCTGATGAGCAGTGCCATGTCCGCGCCCAGGATTCGAACCAACGAAACACTGGGCCGCCTGCAGCAGAGCGCGCGAACTTAACCACTCGGCCACGGGGCCAGCCCCTACTTTTGAAATCTTTTATTGTTATTTTGGTTAAATGGACCACTAAGTATTGTTGCATAGTGACCTATGCACCTGGTTCATAACTGTTTAAACCCTTTGACATTTTTGACAACTTCCCCAAATCAAATTCTAAATGAAGTCTTCTTGATCTCAAATTGACTTTGAGGTGTCCCCAAGGGCCCCTGGAAAAGCTCTTGGTCTCTCCCTTTTTAAAAAAGAGAGATGTTCAACTGATCAGGTTTATTTGATGTGTTAAATTGCATGGAAAGCATTGTCAAATACCAAGTGATGCTTGACTTTCCCTAGGTTATATTTATATGGATAATGTTATTAATATAAGTACTTGAGAAATTTTATGAAATTCCTAGAAATTTGTCAATACCCTCACTGTTCATTATATGTCTGGTATAATGTTATCAGGCATGATTCCAGTTATTATTTAAAATGTTGTATGTCACCAAAACAATCAAATTTCCTTAGTCAAATTGTGTTATTTTTATAGTGAACTTTCATCAAGTTTTTATTTTAATTTTTAAATTTTATTTATTTATTTTGAGGAAGATTAGCCCTGAGCTAACATCTGCCACCAATCCTCCTCTTTTTGCTGAGGAAGACTGGCCCTGAGCTAACATCTGTGCCCATCTTCCTCTACTTTATATGTGGGACACCTGCCATAGCATGGCTTGACAAGCAGTGTGTAGGTCTGCACCCGGGATCTGAACCAGCGAACCCTGGGCTGCTGAAGCAGAGTGCATGAACTTAACCACTAAGCCACGAGGCAGGCCCCTCATCAAATTTTTAAGCAGGGTCGTTTTAAGTCTTTTGTCATTCACAGATAGTTATTGTTTTACTCTGATGCTTTTCTGAAAGCTCTTGAAATGAGGTATGAGCCAGAATGCTTCATCTTCAACAAAAGGATGATCTTAGACTCACGGAAAGGACTATTACATGTGCTCTGTGGTATAGGCGTCTGATGGTTTTAATAACTTTGAGATCGTACCACTGGACTGAGAAAGTTTTCCAGAACTGCAATCGAGAAGCTGATGGGTTCACGAAACCGCCAACCCGAGAACAAGCAGAACAAGAATTAATTACATGGGACTGAATGAAATAACAAAGAATCATTATAATTTTTATGAATTTTCTGTTGGAACATTGCTGGTTCTTTATGTATCTTCTGGATATAGGGAACTCTTTTCTCTGAAGCTATATATAAAATTATATGTTTCTAAACAAAAATGGAACATTTACTTTTTTCTCCCTATTTGATCCTTCCAGAATTCAGAAACTCTTATTGAGTATTCTTATTTTCAGGGCAATATAGTTCTTTGCAGAAGTTCAAGAAGAATCTGTCCTTCCTGTAACAGGATATAGTTGGAAAAATTGGTTATATAACCAATGCTTTGACTGGAATGCCATATTGGAGAATGATGTGCACAGAATCAGATAAGATCAGACACTTTTAAGGAACTGAGAACCATAAAGGTTGACTTCATGTTGTAATTCTTACAAAGCCCTCTTGGAAGAACTGGCCTATTATCTGGATTGCAGGTTCTCTGCCTTGCAGGTGAGTAAGCAAAGTCACTTCCTGGCAGGCCCAGGAACCTTAGGATATTCTGGGGACCTCAAGAAGAGAGGCATTCATCCAAATCTATAGGAACTGCAGATGAAGTCTGGTGGTGAGTTCCTGGCTTGGGTTCTTAGCCTCAAGTACGTTTTTAAAAGTACAATCTGAGATTCCTCATGAAAAGTTCCAGCAAAGCAAATTTAAAAAGACGTTGTGGTCAGTTACCTTTCTTGCTGCACTTATGTAAAGATATAGGCCAAATCCAATGAAACAAGACTTATTTTGCAATCAAGAATAATCTTACTTTGATTATCTTTGATCAAAATAGAAGGTGATTGTAGAGAGAAAGTTTATGTTTCAATGGAATACTATAAGGCATCCTTGTGGGTTATCAGATTCTAGTCCTGTTCATTGTCTTTGTGCTATTTTTCATCTTTTTGTAAAGTGGCTCCCACTGTCTTGTGCATTTTATCAGTAATTAACATTTTCACCAAGAACTAAAACTGCCCTTCTCTCAAAGCACTGTAAGTCAAAGCTGGATGATTTCATATAACTTCAAAGGATTTATCACCACAATGATGTGGGCCACTCAGAAAGTTCACCAAACGCCCGTGTCTTCCACGCTTTGCTCCAGGAAATAACCATGATTATGACACTACCATTACCATCTTCACTAAAGACGTTTCGAACCCAACATCTAGAAATCTTCTCGACTGGCTCCCTTCTGGACTCAGAAACCGTGTGTATACTCTGCTCCAATCATTAATCTTTGTTTTTCTTTTTGATTCCTCATTCTAATCTATGTTCTTCTCCCCCATGGCAGATCTTTTACCTCAGAATTTCTAACATGAATCTCTCTCCACAGCAAACAACCTAGCTTCTTTTTTTGTGTGTGAAACTTCTAGGAACGTTTCAGATGAGGGAAATATGGGGACCCTCTCAGATCCCCAGAGTTGGTATAAAGATTATTTTAAAGTCAAAACATTTGAGTGCAGAAAGATATCTTTTTGAACTTCCCTTATCTGCCTAAAGCAGAGCCTCCTGAAAATACAGCTGCTGTTAACCTCCCTCCTGGGGAGTTTCCTGAAAATTCATTTGCCAAGAAGACAGACTGCCCATACCTGTTAGCATCAAAAAGCTCAACAGAAACTTCCATATTCTCCTGTTAAAGCCCTAAAAACCACCTTTCCTTTGGGCAATCCCATGAGTTTTCCATTCTGTGTGCTCTCCTGCTTGCATGTGTGAAAACATATCTTGTCTTTTCTTCTGTTAATCTGTATTTTTTCCAGTTAAATTTGCAGGCCCCCAAGCACTGGACCCAAGTTAGAAAAGGAAAGTTTTTCTCCCAAGAGAGTCATCAGAACACACTGTCAGTTAAAGCCTTGGAGAAGATTAGCTCCCTGAAGGGAGGGGCTGCCCACAGAAAGAAGAGAACGTTCAAGGAAAGAACTGAGGAAAAACCAACATCTAAAGGGTAGTGGGGTAGAAAAGCCACAAAAGAGCTGGAGAAGGCCGAAGATCAGATTGATGGGAGATAATGACCAATGGCTTCCATGTGTGGAGCATTTACCAAGTGCCAGGCACTGTGCTCAAAGACTCTATAAGCATTGTCTAATCTGCTCTTCACGGTAGCTCCCGAAGGCGGGTAAAATTCACACATTATTGGTGAAACAACACAGTCGTGAACCTTGAGTGAATTGCCGAAATTCACACAGCTAGTTGGTGGCAGGGCAAGAATTTGAACTCTAGAGGCCATGGTTTTAGCCATGGTAGTGGGTTGAATAGTGTCCCCCCAAATTCATGTGTACCTGGAACCTCAGAATGTAATCTTATTTGGAAATATGGTTTGAAGATGTGTTCAAGTTACGATGAGGTCATACTGGATTAGTGGGTCCCATATCCAATGACCGGTGTCTTTGTAAGAGAAGGGAGAGGAGGACTTGGATACAGAGATGTAGAGGAAGAAAGCCATGTGAAGATGGATGTAGAGATTGGAGTTATGCTGCTACAAGCCAAGGAACACCTGCGGCCACCAGAAGATGGAAGGAACAAGGAAGGGTTCTTTCCTCGAGGCTTCAGAGGAAGCATGGCCCTGCTGTCACCTTGATTTTGGACTTCCAGTCTCCTGGACCGAGAATAAATTTCTGTTGTTTTAAGCCACTCAGTTTCTAGTACTTTGTTAAGGCAGCCCTTGGAAACAAATACAGCCACTGTACCATCACTGGCTTTCTTAGAGGAGAAGACTCAAGAGAGTGATGTTAGCGAATTCCAGGAGGAGAGATGGATTCTTGGGGTTGAGTGAGCGTGGAGCTTGTCCTTCTAGAGGTGTGTTTCTGAATCACACTTGAGTCTTTTTCAGGGTATGCAAGGCCATTGCCTGATCTGGAGAAGTTTTACCCCTATCCATCTTGTTAAAGAAAAAATTATTCATGATTCTTGTTAAGGATGGTAAGGCAGACTTAATTCAGGGGGATTACTAGAATGGGATTTTGTAGTAGGAGAGTGATCAGGTTCGACTCCGAATACAAGAGGACAAGTGGAAATTTATAGCCAAGAAGGAGGGCAGGGGTAAGCGGATGGAAAATTACTATGAGGAAACATCAAGGCAAGGGGGATTCTTGCTAGACTGAATCAACATGATTCTTGCTGAAGGCGGATGAGGGCGATGAGAGTCGAAGATGAGGAATTTGATCAGATATCAAGAGTGGGGGATTTTTGCTAAACTGACCTAGCAGGATTCTTGCTAAAACTAAACTGAACGGTCCAACAAAAGAACTCAACATCAGGGCTTTAGGGCTTACAGGAATCTGACTAGAGTTACGTCAAGGAGAGAGTCTTTGTCGCTGTCCACACCATGGCTGTCAAGAGCCACTGATTATGATGACAGTGTGTCACGTTCATGCATTCAGCTCACATGGAGAATATCACCCATGATGCAGAGACACAGGTCAGGCTGTACTTTTCCTGGTGTGTGGAAGTGTGTGGGCTTGTGGTTGGGCTGGTGTGGGGGATGGAGAATGATTAAGACAGGTTCTTCAAATAAAAGATTAACTCCACTGGGCCCTCTCTGGGCTCTCTGGCCGATAGCTTCCTGCCCAGAGAGGTTATCTCTCTTGTCCCATGCCTGACACCTTTTGAAAGAGTAAGGAGGAAGTATCGTTGTGCCTAGGGACTGGTTAACATCCTGAATTAAGCAGCAGCAAATAAATTGAGCATCAAAACTGAGACTTTGAAGAAAAGATTACTTAAAAATCTCAATAAACTTCCTGACACTTCTTTTCTTCCTCTGAATCCTTTTGGAAAGTCTCCTTGTCCCCATCTCCTTCCCAACCTCCAACCGCACTTGAAGAAAACATGGGAAAACATGCTCATCATGCCAATAAAAATGCCAAAATCCTCTATTACCTGAACTTAATTTTTTTCTCATTAAAAGTAATACAGACTTTGTTTCTGGTTCCGTTTGGAAGTTGCCACTCCATTCTAACAATAAGTACACAGCTGAATAGACTGAAAAATCAACAATTCTTTTTGGCTCTATAAAAGCGGAGGACACAGGGCAAACTGCTGGCTCAAAGATTGGAGAGACAGACAGGCTTACCCAGGGAGTCACAGGTGCCTAGAGCAGGGACTTGTGAATGGAAACTGCCTTGGAACCAATGCAGGGGTAGGAAAGCCAGAACCATAATGAATGAATTGCTGGAGGCTCAGTGTGGACAGGTCTGAGAGTTAAAAACTCTAGAGAAACCCCATTATAGGGGCACCCTCACACTTTGACGAGTGGTAACTCCAACAGCTCAACTAGATTCTCACAGTAAATATCAGAGAAAAATCCTCTCGTGCTTCTTGCAGGAGGAGGGGAAAAGGAACCATTCTGAAAGACATCAAAGCATGCTGCTTTTTTTTGGCTTAAAAAATGGGGAAATTTATTATTTCATGTAACAAAATGCCCGATGGTAGGGCAGGCTCCAGGTGCAGTGTGCTAGGGCTCTGGTTCTGTCTTTCTGTGATTCTCTTTGTTCTGCCCTCAGGAATGTTTAGCGTCATCCTCAGGCTGGCCACTAAATTACTGCAATATTTACAGGTGTCTCATTTGGATACAACCATGTCCAGAGAAATAGAGGGGACTTTCCTTTTCTCCAACAAATAGAGACACCTTTGTCACAAGTCTTTATAGATCCCCCTTCACATCTCATTGTCTAGAACTGGGTAATATGCTCATCTCTAAAGCAATCACAGACAACAAAATGGGACCATTGGGATTTATTAGACCAATCAGGATTTGCCTCTGGATCTGAGACTTACATGGGAGGGGTTATACCTGAACAAACAATATAGGGCTTCTGCAGGCCATGAAGAAGGGGAAAAGGATGTTGGGTAGGTAATCAACAGTATCTGCTATAGTGTGAAACGGTGAACCACTGAGAGAAGGTCTTTATAGCCATAAAAGCTCAATTTTTTTAGCTTGAAGGCTGATTGTTAATTTGACCATGGGAAGTTCTTTTTTTTTTTTTTTTTTTAAAGATTTTATTATTTCCTTTTTCTCCCCAACACCCCCCGGTACATAGTTGTATATTCTTCGTTGTGGATTCTTCTAGTTGTGGTATGTGGGACGCTGCCTCAGCGTGGTTTGATGAGCAGTGCCATGTCCACGCCCAGGATTCGAACCAACGAAACACTGGGCCGCCTGCAGCGGAGCGCGCGAACTTAACCACTCGGCCACGGGGCCAGCCCCCCATGGGAAGTTCTTTTGTTAGTTTGTTTTTAGGGGAGCGGAGGTGAGGATAGGAGAGATCCTTTTCAGTTTTGACTCCTAGATCGTAGATTTTTGTTTGACCCTCACAGTCTACTTTCTCCATCTATGTTGAACACATCCAACCTCATCCTTCCATCTGAACAATGGTCCTTCTGCTCACCTCTCATTTTCACCCTCTCTCCTCACCCTCTTCCCCAGCTCCTCCTCAGTCTCACTATAATCAGGTGGCTCTGCCTGGTTCATTAGGGAGAAGACTGAAATCATACACCTCACCTTGCCCCTGGCATCGTACCTGGCTTATACCAGTCTCCTCTCTTGTTCTTCTCTCTTCTTTTTTGTTTTATTTTATTGAGATCACAATGGTTTGTAAGATTGCGAAACTTCAGGTGTACATTATTATTTCTCAATATTCTGTATAGACTGTAATGCAGAGCTCTCTAATCTTAACAAGGTCTGCCCGCAGGGGAAACTGGTCGATCAAAGCTTAACCTGCTGAGGTATTATCAGAGCCTAACTGACCTGGGAGAAAGAAATTATCTAACTCCAGCCTGCTCTAGCTATCCTGTCCTATCTAAGGGGGAAGAAAACAACTGAGGAATGCTTGTGAAGTTCACAGCTGGGTAGCACAGGATCACTAAAACACTGAGACCTAGTGTGCACTTCAGCAGCACATACGCCAAGACTGAGACCTAATCATTGGACTGTAGAATGCTTCCTCTCTCCCCACACTTTACCACCACATTACTAAAAACTATTTACAACAATTCTTGTTACATACTATATCATGTCTGGCTATCAAGAAAAACTACAGGGGGCCGGCCTGGTGGTGCAGCGGCTAAGTTCGCACCTTCTGCTTCTCGGCGGCCAGGGGTTCTCCGGTTCGGATCCTGGGTGCGGACATGGCACTGCTTGGCACACCATGCTGTGGTAGGCGTCCCACATATAAAGTAGAGGAAGATGGGCACAGATATTAGCTCAGGGCCAATCTTCCAAATTCCAAAATTTCCAATATTCCAATCTTTCCTCTCCTCAAAAACTGAAGAAGAAATAAAGACTTTCTCAGACAAACCAAAATTGAGGTAATTTGTTGCCGGTATAACTGTCCTGCAAGAAATATTGAAAAAAATTCTTTAAAGAGAAGGAAAATGATATAGGTCAGATACTCAGATCTATATAAAGAGAGCAAGAGCGTTGAAGAAGGATTAAGTGTAGGCAAAATAAAAACTTGTATTTTTCTTATTCTTAATTGATCTAACAGATAATTGTCCAAGGTGATAATAGTAACAATGTATTTGATTATATATGCTTAAGTATGTAACATAGATATATATGCTTATGTAGGCTTATTTTATATAAGTGAGATGAATGACAGCAATGATACAATGGATGGGAGAGAGAAATAGGATTATTTTGTTATCGCAAGGTACTCACACTACCTGTGAAGTGTCATAGTATTATTTGAAAGTGGACTTCAATTAGTTGTAAATTGCAAACTCTAGGGCAATAGGCAAAAAAATAATAAAAAAAGTGTAATATATACTAAGAAAGGAGAGAAAATAGAATCATATAAAATGCTCAGTTAATACCACAACAAGCAGAAAAAGAGTAGAATACAAAAATAAGTACAAAGAACAAAGGTAACAAATAGAAAACAGAAGCAAATAAGATAGATATTCATCCAACTACATTAGCAGCCACTTTGAATGTCAGTAGTCTAAAAGCACCAATTAAAAGACAGAGATTGTCAGAGTGGGCAATAAAACAAGACCTAATTATTTGTTGTCTATAACAAATCAATTTTAAATATAAAGGCACGTATAGATTAAAAGTAAATGGACGGAGAAAAGTAGATTTTGCTAACACTAAACAAAAGAAAGCAAGAGTAGCTATATTGATTTCAGACAGAGCAGACTTCAAAGCAAGGAGAATTATTGGGGATACAAAAGGGCATTACTTAACAATAAAGGCATTGGTTCTCCAAGAAGACATGACAGTTCTTAATGTATATGCACCTAACAGAGCATCAAACTATATGAGGCAAAAACTGATAGAACGTCAAGGAGAAATAGATGAATCCAATCATAGTTGGAGATATCAACTCCCTTCTATCAGAAATGGGCAGATCCAGCAGGCATAAAATCATACGGACATAGTTGAACTCAACGACATCATCAGTCAACTAAATATAGTGGACATCTGTAGACTACTTCATCCAACAATAGCAGAATACACATTCTTCTCAATCTCAAATGGAACATTCACCAAGACAGACCACATTCTGGGCCATAAAACACACCTTAACAAATTTAAAGAATAGAAATTGTACAATATCTACTCTTAGACCACAATGGAATTAAACTAGAAATCAATAACAGAAGGTAACTGGAAAATTCTCAAACATGTGGAGATTAAATCACACACTTCTAAATAACACATGGGTCAAAGAAGAAATTTCGAGAGAAACTAAAAAAAATATTTTGAACAAAATGAAAACACAACTTACAAAATTTGTGGAATGCAGCAAAAGCAGTGCTTTGGGGGAAATTTATAGCATTGAATGCATATGTTAGAAAAGAAGAAAGATCTAAAATCAATAATCTAATTTTCGTACCTTGGGAAAGTAGAAAAAGAAGAGCAAAATAAATCCAAAGTAAGCAGAAGAAAAGAAATAATAAAAATTAGAGCTGAAATGAAAGAAATTGAAAACAGGTAATCAATAGAGAAAAGCTATGAAACCAAAAGCTAGTCTTTGAAAAGATCAATAAAATCAATAAGCATCTAGTCAGGCTCACCAAAAAAGAGAGAAGACATAAATGACTAATATCAGAAATGAAAGAAGGGACATCTCTACTGATCCCATGGACATTAAAAGGATGATAAAAAAAATACTAGGAACAGCTCTATTTCCACAGATTTGATAATCTAGAGGAAACGGACCAATCCCTTACAAGACACAATCTGCCAAAACTCACATAGGAAGAAGTAGATGATCAGAATAGATGATCTATTAAAGAAATTGAATTGATAATTAATAATCTTCCAAAACATAAAGCACCAGACCCAATGGGTTCACTAGTTAATTCTAGCAAACCAATTTTCTACAATCTCTTTCAGAGGATAGAAGCAGAGAGAATACTTCCTAAGTCATTCAATGAGGCCAGCATTACCCCAATACCAAAACAAGGCAAAGATATTAAAAGAAAAGAAAACTACAGACCAGTGTGTCTCCTGAACATCGATGCAAAAATCCTCAACAAAATATTAGCAATTCAAATTCAGCAAATTATACATCATGACCAAGTGGTATTTATCCCAGGTATTCAAGAATAGTTTAACATTCAAAAGTCAATTAATGTAATCCATCATATCAACAGGCTAAAAAAAGAAAAATTACATAATTATATCATTAGACACAGAAAAAGCATTTGAGAAAATCCAACACTCATTCATGATAAAAACTCTCAGTAGGGGCTGGCCCCATGGCCGAGTGGTTGGGTTTGCGTGCTCCGCTTCGGCAGCCTGGGGTTTTGCCAGTTTGAATCCTGGGTGTGGAAGTGGTGCCACTTGTCGGGCCATGCTGGGGTGGCATCCCACGTGCCACAGCTGGAAGGACACACAACTAAAAATATACAACTATGTACCAGGGGGGCTTTGGGGAGAGAAAAGAAAAATAAAAAAAATCTTTAACAAAAACCCCCAAAAACTCTCAGTAAACTAGGAATAAAGGGGAACGTCCTCATCTTGTAAAGAATATCTTAAAAACCCCCCACAGTTAGTATCATACTTAGTTGTGAGAAACTTGAAGTTTTACCACTAAGATCAGGTACAAGATAAGGATGTGCCCTTTCACCACTCCTTTTCAACATTGTAATGGAAGTCCTAGTCCATGAAATAAGATAAGAAATAATAGGGGCCGGCTCTGTGGCTGAGTGGTTAAGTTTGCACACTCCACTGTGGCGGCCCAGGGTTCAGATCCTGGGCGCGGACATGGCACCGCTCATTAGGCCACATTGAGGTGGCGTCCCACATACCATAACTAGAAGGACCTGCGATTAAGATATACAACTGTGTACGGGGGGGTTTGGGGAGATAAAGCAGAAAAAAAATAAAAAAAGGAAAAAAGAAATAATATAAGAAATAAGACAAGGAAATAAAAATATACAGATTGGAAAG